AGTTTGTTTTATGTATTTTGGAGCCCTGTTGTCGGGTGCATAAATATTTATCATGGTTATATCCTCTTGGTGTATTGACCCTTTAATCATTATATACTGTCCTTCCATATTCTTTGTGGTGGATTTTACTTTGAAGTACATTTTATCAGAGATTAATATTGCCACTCCTGCTCTTTTTCTGATTGTTGTTTGCTTGATATATTTTTTTCCATCTTTTGAGTTTTAGTTTGATTGTATCTTTAAGTCTAAAGGGTGTCTCTTTTAGACAGTATATAGATGGATTGTGTTTTTTATCCATTGTGTCACTCTCTGTCTCTTTACTGGTTTATTTAGTCCATTTGAGTTTAGTGCTGTCATTTTGATGTTTTTTTGTGTGTGTTGACAGTTTCTTTGTTCCTCTTAATTTTCTGTGCTGAGTTGTTTTTCTTCATGTATTTTCTTTTCATCTTTTTCTTTGTTGTTGATTTTGTATTTCCTGAGTCTTTAGTTTTTCTTGTTTTTATTTTGATGTGTTGGATTGTTAGTTTCCTTTGTGATTACCTTAATATTTACCCTTGTTTTTCTAAGTTTAAACGAATCTTTTATTTCTTTATATTGCCTTGACTTCCTCTCCATATGAATGATCTATGACTACATTATTTAGTCCCTTTTTTTTTTTTTGGTGTCATCATCTTTTACGTATTAAAGTCTCTGTTTCCCTATTTTCAGTGACTTAGCTTTGATTTATTTGAGACTTCCCTATCTGGGTTGATAACTGGTTGCTCTGTCCTGTGTTCTAGTACCGGGTTGTTGGCTGATGTTATTGATTCCAAAGCAGTAATCTTTACGGAAGCAGACTGCCACATCTTTCTCCCATGGAGCCACTGGTAGGTTCAAACCACTGACTTTTCATTTAGCAGCTGAGCATTTAATCACTGCACCACTGGGGCTCCTTTAGGTTGCTATAGGTGCCTCTTTTTCTATTGGCAGTAGCCTATAATTCTTGATGAAAAATCCCTAACGATTTTACAGAGCCATTTCAGAAAAAGTTTTTATTTGATAAAATGTCCTCAGAATGGCTTAAACCCTTTTGGTCTCATCTCACAGGATACAACAATCATAGCTCCACACCATCTAATTTCAACAGTCCTCCTGTTAGACTCTATTGCTTCAATGTCTTTCAAGGCCCATAGTGCAAGTGGCTCAGTAAAGCCTGCCATGTTAATGAACTATAAAGTTACTTCTCTCAGGCAATTTGGAATGACGGTAAAACAATTTGAGCCCTCTCATCTAGAATCATTTAACACTGAGTTTTAAGCTTCTTAACCCACCATGGGATCATCAGAGACACGGAGTAGAGAAGCAATGATTCTTTTCTGTCTCCCATAGCAATGGCTGTGGAAACACAGTGAGCAGAAGCAGCCATGGGCTTGTTACCATGGAACTTGCAGTCTAACGACATGGACAGAAGTTAATCAAATAATCACATAAATATAAAATGTAATTTAAAAGCAACAAATGCTATGAAGGAAAAGCACCTGATTCTATAAGCACATGTTATAAAGAAACTGACATATACATGAGAAAGGCTTCCTTGAGAAAGTGACAGTGGAGCTGAAGCTGAAGAATGAATTTGAGTTAGAGTGGAGTAAGGGGGAGGGGGAGAAGGGAGATGGAGAGGGACATTGCAGATGGAGAACAAGTTGAACAAGGGCTATGGA